TAGCTGCATCTTCTATCTTGCATGAGCTGAGGTCATGTTCTCTCAACTTGCAGCGGTGGTAAACCCTGCTGTTAGCCACTGGAATTTGTGTCTGGTCTGACACATCTTTAACTCCTGCTCACTGTTCTGTTTTAGGCCTTCTTCTCCTTCTCCGTCTCCTTCTCCTTCTCCTTCTCCTTCTGCTTCTGCTTCTCCTTCTCCTACTCCTTCTCCTCCTCCTCCCCCTCCCCCTCCTCCTTCTTGTAATGTGAGGATTTCTTTTCTTTCTTTTGAATTTGACTATATATTTCAAAGAATTTTCTCTGTGCATATGTTTTTATAGGTAGAAGGGCCCTTCTGGATCAGTTCAATCTCCTGTTTTGTTGCTCTTTAATATAAGAAATAGAGATAGGGGCACCTGGGTGCCTCAGTCAGTTTAGCATCTGACTTTGGCTCAGGTCTTGATCTCACGGTTTGTGGGTTTGAGCCCCACATCAGGCTCTGTGCTGACAACTCAGAGCCTGGAACCTGCTTCAGATTCTGTGTCTCCCTCTCTCTCTGTCCCTCCCCTATTCATGCTCTGTCTCTCAAAAATGAATAAACATTAAAAAAAAAGAAATAGAGATCAAGGACAGAACCCTGGGGTCCAATATCACGTAAGGGACAGAAATAGGAAGTGAAACCCCCAAGGAGATGGAAGAAACAGAAGGAATAGAACAAGGAGAGACCTGGCCCTTAGAAGAAGGAGAGCAGTTTTTAGAAAGGTTCTCTTATTTGATATGAGGCCAGCTTTCCCAGAGATGGCATATTGTTTATCCTGCAGACTCAAAAGGCCTCCTTGGAAGGAAAACTCAGAGAACTATAAAAGGAAGGAGATCAGCTGAATTTATAAAGGGAATAAAGGGCACTAGTTCCCGCCCCCCCACTATCAGGGATTAATTTGGAAAATTCTGGTTCTTCTTGTGAACCTGGGAGGGACTCTTCTCTGCCTTTTTAACTAAATGTACCAACATCCAACCCACAGAGACTCCAGAGACAACAAGGAGGGAGTTGCATTAGTTTGTATGTTGGGGGCTGGCTTGCCTGTTTGTATTCTTCTCTCTCTATTTTCTTCATCTTGTTATTTTAGGGCCACGTGTGATCTGTGTGCTAAATAAGAGCAAGCTGACATTACTCTGACCCTGTTCGCTCCTAACCCCACCATTCCTCCTGGAATATTCTTAGCCGTTGTCTTTTTGGATAATGCCTTTTCTGCTTCCCAAGTATACAAATTCAGACATGTTAAGGTTCCTTTTAGGCTCTGATTGGAAAGCATTTGGAAACCCAGTTCTGGTTCTGTGGATTTTTGTGGCTGCAGAGGGGATCTTGCAGCTTGGAATGTATCTTTGGGCTGTGCAGGGTGAAGGAACCTGTGTGCAAGTATCTGTGAGCCTGCAGTGAGCGATTTTTACGTCACTATCTAAGTTTTCAAACAAGGACCATCTGTGTCATCTCACCACAGTCCTGGAAATGGGTGGTGCTGGTGTCAATATCCGCACTTCACAGATGAAGAAACAAGGCTAGAGAGGTGAAGCAACATCCCCAGAGTCCATGGCAAGTTAGAGATAGAATTGGATTTACAGTCTAGGCATCCCATCTCTGAGTCTGGCATTTTCCCCTCCATTCCATTCTGCTACGCAGAGGCTTAAGTGGAGACACTGATCTCTACACCCAGGTTTCTGCCAACGTGATCACAAACAGCCCGTGAAGCCCCTCTGCCCTTCACCCTTTCCCCATGCCACATGGTAGGAGAGACTCAAGTTCCTTCCTCCCTTTCTCTCCTGGTCCCTGTACCTTTCAGACATCCACTGCTGCTGCTGACGGACCTCAGACAATGCCAAATGAATTGTTAACCCAGCTCACAGAATTTACAACAACATTTTTATAGCATTTCTGGGTAGAAACAATGGCTAACACCATCTTTCTTGGCATTACTTTTTATTGAATACAGGCTTACAGTCTTTATTTTGAATATAGTACTTTCAATATACAGTCCTTTAGTCATACATATATTTCTTTAAAGCACAAAACTATAACTTAAAATTGAAAGACTATAAATACACATGTATATATTGCCATAAATCTAGAACAATTTTATAAAAATAGAACTCAAATGTCAACTTTATATATTTTGGCAACTTAGCAGTATTGTAAGGTGGCCACAAGCATTTTTATTATGCATCACTGCCCTGAAATGACTGTCTTCAGATTTCATTCTCCATCTCTCTGGGGACACTTGAAACAGTCTCCATTACCAGGGTCCCCCAGAGATGCCCATGGCCATGGCTCAGCATTGCCTTTGCATAAAGACTCAGGGCATCCACCTGTTCTTGGAGGGGGAAGACCAGCTTCCAGATTCTTCCTCAGAAAGAGGAGGTATTCCCTCCTGCCAAATGTCCACAATCCTACACTTCTTAAAGCCCTCACAGTGTATGGTTGATATCTGAATGTACAGAGTCAGTTTCCTTTCCCTATGCTCAGGGAATGACAGACGTGAGCTTGGTTCTTTCAAACCAGTGTAAAAGTTTGAAATAACTTCACCTGAACAATGCCTGCTGGGGTAACATCATACTGACAGTGGACACCAGAGCCCAACTGCTTGTGCAAGGCCCTTTACAGACATGATCTGCAATCCTCAAAGCATTGCAAAGTTGGGACATTCTTGTCCCCATTTGATGATGGAGGGAATTGAGTCTCTGGGTATTTAGGTCTCTTGGTCAGGTCAGTGGGGTTGCCAGACCCCAAATCAAATGTCCAGAAATCCATGGAGGGAAATCAGAAGAGAAATCAGATCTGTACTGTGGTCATTTGGTGAGAACAGACAAGTGGTTTTGGGTCAACTTACATCAGGTGGACAGAAATTCCCCAGACATTCTCAGGACTCTTAGAATGCTACTTCCCAAGGGGAGCAGGAAGGTGGAGGTCTGTAGGAGTATGCACCTACAGACCAGTGACTTTGAAGGGTAGTGCAGAATCTCCTAGATCATCCAATAGAAATCCTCAATCTAAAACCAGGGCTCAAGGAATTTACTGTTCCGGGCGGTTTGTGTTTTCAGAGCTGAACAAAGGTCCCCCATCTCAGCCCTGCCTACTTCAATACTGGTCAAAGTGCAGAAAGCTTGCATGGTTGTCCAAAGGGACATGTGCAGGGTCCCTGGGCTAGAGTGCAGAGCTCAGAATGCCTCAGAGCACAGTGGGAATGGGGCGAGGGGGTATTTGCAGGAATCTCCCGCTGGTCGCACAGCAGAAGTTAGTGGTGAGAGCCAAGCTCTGTGCCTCCTCTGGACAGAGACAGGCTGCCTCAGCTGTTTGCAGTGTGGCCTTTCTAGTCCCTTGCCTTTTAGATTTACTATAAAAATAGTCCCCAACAGGAAGTGATTCTCATATCTTCTTGATGATCACAATCTCTCGGGACCACCTTAACTTTGGCTTTGTGCACTCTCTGCCCCTCCATCAGGGTTGTCTCTGGATACAGCCATTCCCTCCTCCTGGCCCACTCCCCACTAGCTGTCTCCTTTCCCCACCCTCCCCTGCTGGGGGCAAGGAGAGTCCTGTTCTGCACTCCTCCTCATGGGGTTTAGTTGGAATCCCTGGGTAACATCCTCCACATAAAGGGGCCCAGCTGTCTGCAGGTGTCCTGCTTGGGTCACTGAGATAATTTTCTGAAATTAATTATACGGTAGTTTTCTTAAAATCCTCTCTTAAAAATAAATAAAACAAGGGGTGCCTGAGTGGTTCAGTCGGTTAAGCATTTGATTTAGATTCAGGTCATGATCTTGGGGCTCATGAGTTCAAGCCCCACGTCGGGCTCTGTGCTGACAGCCCAGAGCATGGAGCCTGCTTCAGATTCTGTGTCTCCCTCTCTATCTGCCCCTCCCCTGCTCACTCTATCTCTCTCTCCCTCTCTCTCTCTCAAAAATGAATAAACATTAAAAAAATTTTAAAGATGAATAAAACAAAACAAATGAACAAGAGCAGAAAACCCCCAAAGTAACCCTCTCCTCTGTAGAAGGCAGATCACCTATAGGGGCATGATTCCTGTGAAGGGGAGTGGGGAAGGAATGAGAAAAAAAAAATGTGAGTGGCAGGATCCTTGGGGACGTAGACTGGTCCTCCTTCCATCCCTGCTGCTTGGTGGGCACTGTGCTGCTTACTCTGCTGGACTGTCCTTAATGCCCCCCCACCCCCCACCCCAGGGAAGCAGAGAGCAATACCACTCTAGGGCAATGGCAGATGGTTCTTTTTCCCCTTTCAAAATAGCAGGACCAGATTTTCCAAACTCAATGGAAGGCTGCCCCTAGGAGATTAGATGAAAACCAGGAGACATGTGGTTTTGGGCCTGGGTCACTACATTTTAAAATAACTTGGGCTCTGTGTGTGTGTGTGTGTGTGTGTGTGTGTGTGTGTGTGTGTAGGGGAGGGGGTGTTTACAGCACTGTCTGGCTCAGTGCAGGTCACCCTGAATGCCATGATCAGACTGCTGTGAATCTGAAAACAAAGGCCCCTACTCTTCCCCCCCCCCCCCAAAAGAGGTAATGACCTGGAGTTAGCCTCTTTCTTCATGATTCATGTAGGGACACTGCATGTAATAGGTTGACTCATTCTTTTTTGGGGCAAAAATCTCACCTGGACATACTAGGTCCTGCTCGGGTAGCAAACACCAACATTAAGCTTCTGATACCACACAGGGAAGGCAGTGTAGACTTCCCCATCTCACCAAGGCTGCCTCAGAGCCAGGCCAGTCTTATTTCCCAGTACACAGGCTAGAGGGAACCTTGGTAAATGATGACAATTCCCATGAGTAAGGAGGGACACTTTCCTCCTAACACCCCCGCTTTGTGTGATGCCTCAGTGTGGTCTCTGTGTTGGGCCCTGAGGATGGGAGCTACTGAAAGCTGGGGAGAGGGTGGGAAGCAGGGGTTTGGCAGGGTCTAGCAGCGGCAGAATGCTGGGTTTGGGGAGGTGAAATCTAGTGGCAGGAGTCAAGGTTGGTGCCCTTGAATGGGCCTTGTTGCTTTTTCTTGTGTTGCCAATGGCCTGCCCACCATAGACTGTGACAGACTACACAGGTCCCGCATTTCAACGAGGCTTTCTTCTACCGCTTTTGCAAACTTGGTAGAAGATGTCTCTTTGCAGCCATGGAAGCTGGAGATGCAGAAAAGGATGCTCTCTGGCTGGGGGTTGTAGCAGGCCCCGTACCCGTCGGGCACCACGGGACCATAGCAGCAAAACATCTCCATGGTTGTGGGCACCTAGAGGAGAGGACAGGTCAGAAGATGCTTGTCCTGAAATGTAACCTGCGAACTTGCTAGAATGCAGGGCGTTTCAACAACCCAGAGGCCTCAACGGGATATTTGCTTCTCTTTTCCACCTGGGCGTTTGACTGAATTAACCAAATGAACCAATTGCTTCAGCATGGTTGGCCACAGGCAGAGTCATAAAAACAAACCTATCTAACCACACGATGTCAGAAGAAGAGGGTCCATAAGCCACTCCCTGGTAGGAAATGTGCTGTACTTGTAGAGTCAAAATCTCCCAGAGTGACCTGTGCTGGGTCTCAGGCTGAGACTCTGCTTCACCGGGAAGGCTGTTTGAGGCACTGAGGCAATCAGGGTAATTAACTCAATGGGACCCTGGTGGTACCCAACAGTTAGATGGCTTCCCAGAGGGAGTAATTTATGAACAGAAGGAAATCTGGCCTGTCTTCTTTGTCGATTTTCCCCACATCCTTAATTACTGTCAGTATTGCCTGGCTGGTCTGATTTTCTCCCCATAGCCCCGCCATGCACAATTACCCAGCATTGGGCATTTCAAAGAGTGCCATCAACTGGAGTTTTAGTTATGCACCTAATACATTTTGAATTTAGAGTGCTGAGATTTTGTAATCGGGATCACAAATCAGGAAAATGTGTCTCTGAAGGCCTTCAAGCCATAAATGTTCATTTCTAGTTGGGAGGGAAAAAACACCAAACCACCACACCCCAAATTAATTTTATTAGCTGGTCTGACGGGGAAAATAAAACACATTCTTGAGTACTTGCAGGATGGGGTTTGTTTTAAACCTAAGGTTTCTGGTGCTCTGTAGCTGGGCCTTCAGAAATGACAGCAGCCATTTTAATGGGGCAGAACAAACCATTAGTCTTGCTAATAGAGTCACCTCATTGTGAGATAAATTTGCCGTGCAACAGCTGAAGGCCGTAAAACCATTCCAAAGCACTTTTTGCCCACGGATGGTTTCCTGAAGAATTTATGTTGTTGCGTCCTGCCCTCGTTTATTCACGTCTGCGAGCTCACTGCCGTAATGACAAAATCAAATTACTGAGTGGGCTTTTATCCTCAAACACAACTTTGTCAGCCCCTTTTATTGCCCATGTCCAGCCTTCGGCAGATGAGGTAGAGTTTTAGTAAGCTGACTTTTGGGGGTTTATTTTCTTTCCTAAACTGCTGCCTTCTCTAGTGGATTTCATTCTTTCCAACAGTGGTCCTCCCACAGAGGGAGGATGTAGCACTAGTGAGGAGATGCTGGGATGACAGCCAATCACCTGCTGTTGGCCACACAGACCTTTATAATAATGTCTGTGACCTGATTAGAGGATCCTGTCCATGCCAGGCACTGGGCTAGGCTTTCTACCCACATCGTCACCTCTTGTTGAGTCAGGACTTCACCCTAGTCCTATTGGGCTTCAGAACCTGTGGCCAGCATGGTGGAACACTACCCCTCTAGTAACAGATTGAAAGGTAATAAGCAGTAATGATTAGGGCACCAGTACCCATCCAATCCACCTCTGCCAAGGTGGCGCCCATGATTACACCCATTTAGGCAGTGGGGAAACCAGCACTCTGAGCATTTAAGTCATTTTGCAAAAGGTCATGCAGCTTGTAAGAAGCAGATCTGGGACTTGCCTGACTCCAACCAGTGGGCTGTAGTCACTTGGTTACACTAAGTGGCTTTTTAGAAAGCGCACTGGTTACACTAAATGGCCCCTCGGGTGACAGTTGCACTAGGGCTGTACCTGGCTGGTTGAGAGGATGAACCGGTTACTCATCAGGTATGTTTCATCCGTGAACATCTCGGGCAACTCCTTGCACATGTCCCGGGCCAGCTCCCGCAGCCCCAGCAAATGATTGTCGATGGCCATCCCTGTTATGGCCTGGGTAGTTAGGGACAAAGAACAGGACATAAGAATGGGCTCCCCTGCCCTCCCCCTTCTCTCTAGTCCACAATGCTAATGGTGACTGCAAGGGTCAAGGCTTGCACTTACCCAGTGCTTGCTGCAGACAGTGGGTGTCGGTGGCCACCCAGGACTGACCACTTTACTACTCAGCCTCTGCTTCTTGGACCCTTCCTATGTGCACAGGGCGAGTCCAGAGCAGGCTGGGTTCTAACATGAGCATGTCTGAGTTAAAGGTCTATGAGTCTGAGTATCCCTCACCTCTCAACCCCAGCATGGTCACCGCTCTAAGTGGAAGAAGTGGGCCAGGCCATCCCCAGTAACTTCGTAGGTAGGAGAAGAGTTTGGGGAGAAGGATGGGTTCTGTGCCCTGTGGACGGATGGGGAGGGGTGCCCTGGGATATCACTGGACAGACTCTCACCACAACTAATACTTTATCCTCCAGCAGAAGTCCAATGAATGAGTGATAGAGGACATTAAGGTCTGTTTCTAAATCTTGGTTGCTATTTCATGGGCCCAGAATCAGCTCAACTAAACTGGATTATAATCTAAGAAATCATTTTGAGACAGAAACTAGACATCTTAGCAGAGGCTCAGCTGATGTTTGCAAGAGGAAAGCTTGTTGAATGTAAAAAGATTTTTTTCTTTTTATCATAAGACACTTGAATTCTTATCAAAGGATAAAATATAGCAGTGGGGACTCCAGGATTTCTACAGAAGAGGAACTCAGAAGTGGTGGTGTGGCCGGTAGTGGGGCCGGGGCACTCATTTCATATCCTTCCCACTTGAGTTGGCATGAGTAGCATGCACACTGGTTTCACTTGGATTACATGTTTATTTGGGGCAATTATGGGAAGTGGTGGAGACTTGGGGGCCACCTCTGGCCTATAGTAGTGACCTATGGGTCCACGTCAGGGTAATTGTAAATCATAGGGGGTTCACAGTTGCATAAGATGCCCACTTAGTTGTTAGAGCCCCAGCGAGGAGGAAACCTCCATCACAATGAACTCTGTTCAAGTTTACAAGGCACGCTTTGGGATTTGGCAACTGTTCTTTCTCAGTACAGAATGAATGCATAAAGATGACTCAGAGGCCCCAGTCTCTTCCAGTGCACCTAATTATAGGTTAAAAGACATGTCACACAACCTCAGCTCACTTTAGACGTGCCCCGTTAGAACAGAGGGGAAGAACTATGAGCCTATCTTTGAAGTGGGCGTACTTCTAATTTCTCTGGTTACCTCTGTGTCATCGCTGATTGGTGGCAGATCTGGAGAAGCAGCCACTCTCTGCAGCAGCCACCCACCCGTCTTCACCACCTCAAGCTCACTGTGGCAACTGGGGTTGATTTAACAGATTGTTTGGATTAAGGCCACAAGTAGTAATGAGTAGAATGATTCATCACTCAGTCTTTCTTTCATTCATTCAGGGAATCTTACTTGAGCACCCACTGTGTGCCCAAGCTACTGGGTGCTGGGAGTGTGCGTGCTATGAAGGAAAAGCATAAGGTGCTGTGAGAGTCTGTGATGGGGCATCTGGCGCACACCTGCTCCTTCACTGGGATGTCCTTTCTCCACAACCATTCCCAGATACACCAGCCAGGGAGCTGGAGCTGCCTTTGCTTCTTTCCCCCATCCCTTACCCCATGTCACCAACCAAGCACCAGATTAACCTTCAAAGCATCCTTATAGCTCTTTCCTTCCCACCCCATCTCTTTTATTTAGCTGTTCCCACAACTTAAAATAGTTAACACAGCAGAAACCTAGGGCAATGCTCTACAGGATTTTTTTAAAGTTTTTTTTATGTTTATTTATTTATTTTGAGAGAGAGAGAGAGAAAGCGAACAGGAGAGGTAGAGAGAGAAGGAAAGAGAGAATCCCAAGAAGGCTCTACACTGTCAATGCAGAGCCAGATGCGGGGCTCGAACTCACGAACTGTGAGACCATTCCTTGAGCCAAAATCAAGAATCAGAGGTGAGGCACCTGGGTGGCTCGGTTGGTTAAACATCGGACTTCAGCTCAGTTCGTGATCTCATGGTACGTGAGTTCTAGCCCTGCATTGGGCTTTCTACTGTCAGTGCAGAGCCAGCTTCAGATCCTCTGTGCCTGCCTCTCTCTGCCCCACGTCTGCTCGACTTCATCAAAAACAAGTACACATTAAAAAATTAATTAACTAATTAAAAAGGAGTCAGATGCTTAACTAACTGAGCCACCCAGGCACCCCACAATGATTGTCAGTTAATATATTGATCACCAGTGAAAGTAGTAGTTTATCCTCTGTTGTTTGTGTGTAAATGATGGCTCTGCCATGCTAGAAAATAAACTATTTCTCTAAATAAGGGAACATTTTCCTTAAAATTTTGATTTCACTGTTAATTTTCAGCAAAGCCTTTTTATTCATAGGCAATATGAATAAATAGAAAATAAGAAGGCAAAACCAGCCCTTGGTGGGAATAAATACTGCCTCACCTGCGATCATGCAAGGTGTGCAAGCCACCCCAGTTTGCCAGGCTTGGCCACCATCTCTCACATTTGACTTCTCTTGTATAAACTCTAAAGTGCTATAACATATTTGCTATTATTATCATTTTTTTTTCAAAGACCATTCGTCGTATTCTTGTAAAATCCATGTGTAAAAACAAGTGCTCTGTTGGGGCGCCTGGGTGGCTCAGTTGGTTAAGCATCCAACTTCAGCTCAGGTTATGATCTCGCAGTTTCTGAGTTTGAGCCCTGCATTGGGCTCTCTGCTGTCAGCACAGAGCCCACTTCAGATCCTCTGTCTCCATCTCTCTCTCCCCCTCTCCCACTTGTGCTCCATCCCTCTAAAAAATAAATAAACATTAAAAAAAAAAAAAGAGTGCCATGTTATCTAGTATCTAAAAATAAGAAAAAGGAGGCTCTGAGAGGCATGGCCTTGGCCAAGCCACTGGGCCCAGCTCTCACCCAGGTCCTGTGCCACGGCCCTACTCTTGAAGGCCCCGCTCTGGGCACAGCCCACAGTCATGAGTTCACCTGAGAGGGGGCGCCACATCACTCACCATGACTGTGTACTCAGTCTGGGCTCGGATGGCATCCTTCAGGAGCAGCAGCTTCTCTGAAGCCTGTCGACAGACCAGAGATGGGGCTTTAAAGGGCTACTCAGTGGCAAGCTAAAAGAGCTGGTTGTCACGGAGCCCAGCCAACAGGCAGCCCACTGCTGCCCCTCTGGCCTCCTGGAGACTCTTTAGACAGAGCAGGACTTACCGGCACAGCAGCCTTGTGGTCAGTGATGGCTCTCACAAAACTCAGCGCCTCTGGAGTTGCCGATCGAATGTTGTCCACGCGGCCCTCCTGGAATCGGCGAATGGACGCGCTCTCATAGGTGGGGACGAGTCTCCTGTGGAGCCTGCATAAGATGCAAGATGAATGGCAAATGGTGATGCAGTCTCAGGAAACCATAAACGCTGAAAGAAAAATAGCCTCGGCAGGCTTTATTTTTACAGTCCTGACTCTACTTGGCATAGTATTTCATTTTAATGTTAATAGAATTCTGGAGGAGATTTCCCAAAGAGGAGTGTCGGGGAGTCGCTAATATGACTTTCATACATTTGGTGACACTGCGTGGTTATAAAATAAAGAAGTGACTGGTAACTTTTCAAAAAACCCCAGTCTGGTGGGGAACCTAGAATTTTCTTCAAGATCTGATGAGTGTTTGATTAATAGCACAGAATGGAATAATTGTGCAATTAATCATTCACACCCTTGAGGGAATCCTGTTTTATTTAGAACAATTCAAGCGTGACCTACGGATGGAGGCAGGGAGGGAGCTTCAGTGGTCACGAGTGGAAACTGCAGCACAGGCCCGCCTGTCCAGGGGCAGCACCCGTGGGCACCATGGCTGTGCCTCTCCTCCCTGACGTCTGGGACAGGAGCCACTCCCCACACCAGCCAGGGAAAGTCCTTTCATTAGGCATGTGAGCCGTGAGCACTCCTAGGCTTGCATACCTGGCTGACACACATCTTTCTCACCAGTCAGTGAAGTCTTTGGTGTTGGGGGTGGGGAGGAGAAAGACACAGAATCACAGAGGGGCAGTGACAGCCCAAAGTCACATACAAGTCATGGTCCTGCATCTTGGCCTTGTCAGGGCATGTACCTCCCATGCTGGGTAAGCTCTAGGAGGAGAAAGGCCAAGTCTGATTCAGCACAGTGCTTTGTCCTGTAACTTGGTGAGAAGGTCAGTCAACTTCCTGTACACTTATGCCTCATTTCCCCAAGGAGAAAGGACTCTGGCAGGGAGCTCATTTCTTCTATCTCTATGGCCCCAGGAGGCAAACGCCATGCTGGGCACAAAAGTAGATGCCATCACTGGCTAATCACTGATCAACCCCAATTTAGGCAGCTTCCAGGCTTCTGTAGACTCTAGGGGCAGATTAAAAAACTTTTTTTTGTTATGGCTTAGACTCTTGAAGAATGTTCTCCATGAGAAGCAGAGAAGCCCTATTTGGGCTACTCACAGGAGCCTTTGGCCACATCCACTGCTGGCCACATCCAGTGCAACAAAGATCATTAAGGGTGGAGGAGGCAGAGCTCTGTACAGGGTCCACTAGCCCCCTCCTAGATTTGGGTCCGAAGGGCTCTCTGAAGTAACACCTGCCGGCATCTCTGGTTGTGGTTCCAGCAGAACCTTGACCTCATGGCCCATTTCAGCCATGTGCCAGTATCAGAATGGTGACTGTGGTTCCAGACACCAGGACCTGCCACAGCTCAATGCCAGTGAGGCCTTTGTGTCCCCACGATGAGCACAGACCTCGTGTGGGGTGACATCAGCCTTCCCCAAGGAGTCCCAATGCCCTGAAAGGCCGTAGCCACTTCCCTTCCCTGTGAGTTACCACCCCTCCAGGGGAAACTGGGATCTGGGTTGCTGTGTCCACATGAGTGCTGTCAACCCTTGCCCCAGCCTTATCGCAAGATCACTTTATGCTCCCCCCCGTATATGGCAAGATGCAGGCAGGTCCTGGTGGGGTAGTGCTATTTATCGCCTATGCCGGCTGATGAGTGCTGCTCCAGGAGCACTGGAGCCTGCAGGAGCCGGCCTTGTCTTTAGGATGATCCACTTTGCATTTTAGTTTCAGCCTCCTATCAAAGACTGCTTGGGCTCCCCGCCTTCAACCCTTACTCCCTTACTCCCTACTTTGCTGCCAACACAGGGCTACCACCACAGGGACTTCTCTAAGCTGCAGACCTGACTGTGCCGCCCCCCAGATAAAACTCCTGTCGTGTATTCTCACATCTGTGACTCAGTCCCTGATGCCTACTCTGTGCCGGGTGTGTGAGAGATACCCAGAGTGTCAGGCTTGGGAGAGACAGGCTAGAAAACAAAAATCAACAAATCAACAAACAAGGTAGCTCACACAAACAACTGCTATGAAAGAAAAAGAGGACACAATGGGATAGGCTAGAGAGCTGGATGGCGAGGGCCTGAGGTGGCTGCTTTAGATAAGGGGGTCAGGGCAGGCCTCTGAGAGCTGACGCCAGAGCAGACCCTGGCAGAGGGGAGGAGGTGGCATGTGAAGAGTGGTGATGGCAACGGGTGGGTGGGCGGAGGCACAGCCAGAGCAAAGGGCTTGGGAGGAGGGCCCCAGTAGAGGCCAGTTCACAGGGAGACTTTCTAAGCCTGGACTTTGTTCTAAACATGGTGGAAAACCATTGGGAGGGTTCAAGGTGGTGAGTGATAGGATCTGATTTGCATATTTCAACGTTTTGCAAAGATGGGAGTGGAGGCAGAGACCCTGGAGAAGCATGCTGCAGTTAAGCAGCACCAGATGATGGGGGCGGGGGAGGGGCCGATGGTGATGGAGAGGGAAAATGGGGGGTAGGGGGAGAGGTTCTGAGAGACATCTGGAGGATGACATGGTGGTGTCACGGGTGGGGAATGAGAGACAGGGACAAATCAAAGATGAGTTCAGATTCTTTGACTTGACCCACAGTGGGCGGGGGTGGGGGGTATGCTGGTTCCATGTCCTTATAAAGAAACAGGGCACAGCCAGAGGCTGGGTGAGGGCAAGAGTAGGAGCGGCCTCCATCACCGGCGTTGTTAGCTCAGTGTTCTGGCGCTTTGAGCTCTGTGCACCTGTGCCATCACTCGGGCAAATTCCTGACTTGATGTCTTTCCTTCTCTTTTCTGAGACTGGATTCACACTTTGATGAAGTGGCACCTTCTTTCATGCAGCCTGCTCTGGTCCTCCCATCTCCTAGGCCCACAGGAAGTCATTCCTCCCTCTAGGATGCTTCTAGACTCTAGAGTCTAGGGCAGCTTGTCAGTCAGCCCGCCTGGGCAGCGTCATTCCGCCAGCAGGCTTTGCTCACCTGTAGAAGGCCAGCTGGAGGGCCACCTGAATGAAGGCATCAGGACTGCATTTCTGCTTCTTAATGAATGTTTTCCCGAAGATGTCAAACTTATAAACAGTAAAGTCGAGATTCTTTACTATTCTGTGGCAGAAGAAGAAGAGGTGCTATTACATGTAAAATGGAATGCACACACCACAAAGTCTAACCAAGTTGCTCAGGCTTGGTGTACAACCTAGTGCTCTGGAAGTTGAGGACACAGTCCTTGCCCACCAGGAACATATTGGGTGTCAGAGACAGGCCTTGACATACAGAAGTGGCAGAGGGCATGCCAGACCAGGGATCCCTGAGCTGAAGGTGAGGCTTGGCCAGGCAGGGCAGTGGCCCTGTTCTGGTGGTAGGGGAGGGGCCTGGGAGCACAGGGGCCTGAGAGGCATTTGCATGGGCAGGGAGAGCAGTGTCCTCAAACAAAATCCTAGAAGCCTCTTGCCCACAGAAGCAGGCCTGAAGGAGGCCGTTCATTTGACCTGTTTGGGAAGGTGTGTCCCACATCGTCAGACTCTTTTGGCATCCTGGCTATTCTGCCAGACTGGGCATGCCACCTTTGCCCAGGAAAAAGCCTATTTCTGAGATGGCTGTAAGCCATGTCTCTTCACAGAGACTCTTCCCTGTTGTGTTATGAGAGGAAGACCTGGGGCCTCCCTGTTGGTCATGGCCACCCCAGCAAGGGCTGCTCTTCTGGGCTTGGCCACTGACTATAAACCCCAGGAACTATTACTGAGCCTCTCATGGCATGCCCAGGTCCTTACTGCCCATGAGTCACTGTCAGAGTAACAGGTAGATTCCCTGAGTCTACACTGAGACCCTTGAGTACCTGTCATCCCCTATTGACCAGTCTCTTCCTTCATGAGTTTGGGGTCTGGGCTGATTGTCCATTGCAACATGGTCCGGCAGGGTCCACACCATCTGTCCACTGGCCATAAGTGAACACAGAGCCTTGGGCAGGCAACCCCAAGCCTCCATGCACATACTTCCTCAGGTCGCAGATGCTGCCTGTCTGCCCTTCCTTGAGCTATTCCCCCTTCCTCATGGGAGCTCAGCTCTCAGTGGGGCCATGTCAGGTTCTGAAGACCCATGGAGGCCCACCCCTCAGTCCAACCTGTTAGTCAACTGTCTCTAGACAGGCTGAGTTCATGGTCACACAGCCACCTGGAAACCTCTTGCCCAGGCCCTGCCCACACAGACACTGCTCCCTTCCACAGGTGGCCCAGGACCCCCAAGGCTCCTCCTGCTTTCTCAGCTTCAGGCCTCTCCTGGTTCCCCACTTCTGAAAAGAAAACTTCAGGGGCCCCATTCAGATCTCTGAAAATGAGTGGGGGTTTTCTCCACCCAGGACTTGCCAGTCTACCAACTCACTCTCCTAGAGGCCTGCTCATCCCAAGAACAGCCCCGTAAGGTTGTGATATCAGCACCATTTGTAGATGAACACCTGGGGCTTCTCCCACTCTCCTGCCACAGCCAGTCATCCTCCACAGCAGCCTGCAGTGGCCTTGCCCTTTCTACCCTTCAAGCCTGGCCATGATCTGTCCCACTCACCCATGCGCTTCCCATAATCTCCTCACTGGCCCCCTGAACCCCCCTGCTCAAAACCCTCCAGGGGCTCTTCACCACTGAAGGACAGCTTCCAGGTCCCATAACGCAAGAACAGCAATGTATTCACAATGTGGCCTCAACGTCCCTTTAGTGCCTCAGTTCTGCCAATTCTCTCAGTTGCTGGTTTCCAGGCCAGCCTGGATCTTCTACGAACCTGTACAAGCTTGAACAAGCTGCCTTTCTGCCTCTTCTCCCCTGCCTGCACCATGAACTCCTATCCATCCTTCAAGGCCCATCGTTGCAAAGCCCTCCCACAATGTCCTGGTAGAATTCCACTCCTGTAGCCTCTGTGAGTTCGGGTCTGTATGCCTTTCCCTGGTTTTGGCACTTTATTGTGTCACACGTTTTGGTCTGAGGGTCTCCTTCCTCCACTGAAGCATGGACAGCAGGCTCCGTGGTATATTCATTTTGGTGTCCTCAGCCTTTCCACAGTCCTGGCACACTTAAAATTCTGTACATGTTTAATGAATGAGTGAATGAGTGAATGAATGAATCATGCTCACTTACCGAATGAGGGAATGAACAACCAAGGTCCAGATCTAGTTGCCAGCCTACAGCTCACTCCACAACTTGCCACCGTTCTAGTGCTGGCCCACCCAGAGATGCCCAGACCCATCCTGGGCCCTCCTGCACGGTCCCGTTAGGGCCTTGACTGCCTCCCTCCTCTTGGGAAAAAAGGCCCCCTTGTCAAGTTGCAGTGTAAATTCAAGCAAATCAAAATAGCTTGGATTCAAATGACCTATGCAAACCAGTTGTTTACTACTCCCCCCGAAAGGAGGGGGATGATTTCCCCGTCTTGACTCTGCTCAGTCAGGTGAAACCCACGAAAAAATAGCTCCATGTTTGCATTTTATGGAAACGATGGATACTCCAGCAAGGTTATTTCCCAGAGAGTTGTAACTCCCCTTTAGTTTGAATACATTTCCATGATGGGGGTGGGAGGGAGTAGTGCAGGTGGGCGAGGGGAGGCAAAGAGCTGGGGTCTTTAGAAACTTCCAGGCTGCCTCTGGATATCCAGCCTGGATAGAGGGGGTTGTGGTGAGGTGGTAGTAATCGCCCTAAAAGAGACTTGGACTTTGTACCGTTGAAGTTTTTCTGCTGAGGAGGCTAAGAGGCCTTGAATTTCCGGGGAGCATTTCCAACGCAGCCTCCTGGGGGCCGGGAGCTCGCTGACGGAGTCGGCTCGGACCAGCTTCTGGCTGCTCTTCACCCTGCAGACAGAGAGAGGTGACCTCGTGCGGCCCTGCCACATGCTGTGGGCTGCCGGCAGCATGCGTCTTAGCTGTTGGAGTTTCAGTGGGTATGAGCTGTCCCTGGAAACACAGACTGAGGGTCAGCGGAGCCACTCAAAGGAGCATGGGGCAGAGCCAGGATTCCAGCCAGTTCTGCCTGACTCCAGAGCCCCGTATTTCTTTTCACGCTTTCCCACTCCACCGCTTTCCACCACTGGCATTTATGAAACACTTGGAAGGAAATTGAAGAAGCAAATTGTGTTGTTTTGTCCATGAGGGCTTTTAGGGATCCTAAAGAGTTCTTAAATCATGGTAGAGATTTAGAACTTAGATTCAGAGAGAAGATTCTAGAAGGAGAGAATGGGTAAACCACAAATAGAGGAAAGGGGTCGGTGTGTTTAAGGGATAGAGAAGCACTCAGTCTGGCCAGCTTGGAAGCTAGGGAGAGAGACGCAGCCCAAGGGGATGGAAGGAGGTGGGACCTGCCCTCCTCTGTGCTGGGTCAAGCCAGCCCAGCCCTGACTCTGAACACACTAGATGTTGCTCTGGGCTTCACTGGGCCAAAGCAGGTGTTCCTTTTTGGCTGAGAATTCTTTGCCAAGCTTTTTTCTAACCGCCCAAAACCTGCTGTCCAGTCTGCCCCCCTCTGTCCATGGCAGATAAAGTGTATGATGTCAAGCTGGTTTTCAAACCCATCTTTTGCTAAGACACTTTCCGGACAAATGTGGCCCCTCCTCCCCCGACGGACACCCAAATTTTTCTTGGCCTAGCTTGGCAGCCCCTTGGCAGTCTGGCTTTGACTTCTATGGCTGTTGCAAAGGGGCCCCGCCCCCAGACTCACATGTGTTTGAGCAGATGCTCTGTGCACTGCACCAGGACGATGCCGTCGAAAGGGGAGTGTTCGCACACCACACCACAGGTGCCGTCTCGGCTCACCACAAACTGCAAGAAGAAGAGGTGAGGCACGTCTGGTAGCGTCTGCATTTCAAACTGGCCCCTTGGCTCCAGGCCAGGCATCCTCAACCTCTCAGGGACCTCTCCTCCAGGGACACCAAAGCACATGATCTCCCCAAAAAGAATGCTTCTGGAAATTGCCAAGACTTGGGAATATGGGGGCCTCAAGGCAGCTCTGTCGTGTGACCTCCTTCCCAGAAATGCTCTGGGCAGTGAGGGTGGAGCCCAAGGTTCCCTGGCTGAGGTAGCCCAGTGATTCCTGAGACCTCACACGGAAGCTGTACATACTTTGCTCAAGTCCTGGGCAAGTTCCTTCAGCTTCTGGTAAGCCCTGTTTCCCCATCACAGTGGGCACTGGGGCCACAAGCCTGTACAGCTTTGTGTGGTTATGTATCTGAGTCCACCCTGTGTGTCTGGCTACCTTGGATTTTATTCCCAGGATCTAAACCAGTGTCTACCCCATAGTAGGTGCTCAGTGATTTTGTTGAATGAGTGACTGAAAGATAATGATTCAATTCGGATGGTGTGCAGATTCCTAGGGAGAAACAAATTGTCTCTTGGTGGGAGTGAAGGAAGGGTGTTCTGAGGATGCTCTGCTCCCTGCTGCCTGGGCTTCGAGTCAGGGACCCAGATTCCAGCTCTGCCATTGCCACCTGCCAGCTGGGAGACCTTTAACCAGACATTTCAGCTCTCTGGCTTCAGTTTGCTCGCCTTTAAAATGGATGCAATAAGGCCCAGTTCACAGGATTGCTATGAGGATTAGAAAGAAGGTATAGGAAAGGTCCACAGGCACTGTAAAGATTTTACCAAGGCTGTACTTAGCCAACTTAGAAAAGGAACATACTCAGCATGTACAGAAGTGCTGGCAGAAAATAATGAGATTGAGATTTGATCGTTAAAGCGTACCCCAGATAAAGTGGGGCTGCCTATAGCGGCTCAGCACAGCATCACACTCAAGAGAGTCTGGTCCACCGTCCATAAACAAACAAGCAAACAAACAAGCTATTGACATTTTTACTGATACTCTTCCAGGATGCTGTAACAATCACACGTGAGCTGACTCTCCTCATGTCTTGCCCAGTCTCTCACATCACGTGCCGGTGACCCGAAGCTTTCCTCCCATTCTTCAATCTTCCCACGTCATCTTTCTCAAAACTCAACCCTTGCAGATTCTTTTCTCTTTTCCCCAACATCCCCTGCTTTCCTGTCCTGAGACTAGCTCTTGATCCTTTCAATTCACGTCCCTGGGAGCCTCTTTGGCTCCTCCAGCTCACCTGATCATCTGTCCTGCCCGTGGAAAGAGCCCAGAGGTGGGCACAGTCACCCATGTGAGGCAGGAGGGGAAGGCTGTGCCCACTCATGCATTAGTGATTTTCTGTCCCTGTCACTAAAAGAAAGGAAGGAAAACGGTGCCTTTTAAAAACCACTCCCAAGGCTTGCTATGTTTCCGGTCCTGTACATCCATTATATCATTTCTCTCCCACAGCTGCTCCATGAAAGATTACAAGCCATTAGCACCACTGGTGGAGGCTGAGACAGCCAGCACAGCAGCAAGAGAACTCATCAGGAATAGCAGAATCAATATGCAAACCAATAAAAAAGGATAACCAGAACGTAGGGGCCAGAGAAAGCGGAAAATGAGATGTTGCCTAGAAATGCTTCTCAGTGTGAGCAATGTTAGCCCAAAGCATAGAGATTGCTGGCTATTTAATATGGTCATTATGAAAGTGATGTCCCTCACCTTATAGTGCGTGAAGGGAGATAGGGAATGAGCCCCAGGTCTGACCCAGAGGTCCCACATGCCTGGCACAGGCTGCAGGAAGGTTAGGGGTTTGAGTTGGTTTCGGGCACTTGCTCCAGAGAAGCATCCTGGCCAGTCCAGGGGCTGACACCAGCAGCACATTTCCAGTGCCTTCAGCTCCCTTGGCCCCCGATGCAGCATCCTGGGTAGCACAGGCCAGTGAGCCAGCCTGCTGGATGTAAGCATGTGCTGGCTCGGGCCCCTGGCCACGCCACTGGGGAGGCTTACCTGCAGGGACTTGTCATACCAGCGGTTCGCCCCATTCTTGCTACAGCCTCCGCCGTGAAGGAGCTGAAGTGCCCTGTTGGTGTCGCTGAGCTCCATGCCTCCCGGGGCATCCAGGCATACCAGGCAGATGCAGCGTTCAATCATGTCCAGTGCGTCCCGGTTGGTGGAGTCTGCGGGCCAGGCAAACAAGGCCTTATCACCTACCCCCAAACCCTAGGCTTGAGGTCCCCTCCACAGAGTGTCACATATCACAGGCAGACACCCAGCCCTTGAGCCAGTCCCGACCCCTCTTTGAACCCCAGCGGGTAGGCGGTGAAGTCAGCCAGACTGTCCTGAGCTTCTGTGCGAATCCCAGCAGCCGGCTCACTCTCAGGGTCTCTGCGAGAGTCCCACTCACTCTTCATCTGTGGCCAGTTCTGCCCCTGGATGGGTGGTCACTGGCCCTGCCTTCTAGGATGAGGGGGCTCATGCAGGGCCTTCTCCATGGATGTTAGACCCACTGGCCAGATTTTGCCAGGGGAGGAGCTCCAATTCCCCCATCCAGCCGCACCCCCACCCACCCCACTGTGGCACTTAAGAGCCACATGTGGCACATAGGCATGTTTATTTGTCCTGAACTACAGTTTTTGAACATTAGTTGCTGAAATTTAAAAATCAGTCAGTTTCACACGAAAAGCTGAAGGGAGGGATTCAAGGTGTTGCCCTCCCTGCCCCCTGCCACCTCGGCAGTTATTTCAATGCAGAGGGCAGATGGAAGGGACAGGCTGCCCCAAAGCCATATGCGGGTGAGCCCATTGGGGCCATTTCAGGCATGTCACTAAAAGCCACTGAGTTGTGCAGGAGACATATCACCAAGGCAGCTCAGCTTCTCCATGGGGGACATTGGGCATGGGGTTTCTCTTGGAGTAGAGCTGGCCCGGCCAGATGGGCTGCCCTAGGCAGCCTCCTCCACCTCCACCACGTCCTCTATCCAGCCTTTTGGGCTGGATGCTGTAACAGGATGAAGTGCAGAGTTACCCCTCCCTCCAAGCCTCAGAGTATTCTATGCATGGAAGATGGGGTGCAAGGTATTTGGAGGCAAAGGGGCACTATGTGGCAGAGACTGCTAGCTGCAGATGGCAATATCCATTCTCCCTTTAGTCACAGAGTGCCTGGTTTTTGGTTGGCACAGGGAGAACCAGAACTCAAGCTACATTGCCCACTGCCAACAGCATTTAGAAACACAACGTGACAGCTTCTAAGAGAGCTCCTTAAAGATAACTAGCACATGCTCTTTGCCCCTCTTCCCACCTTCCACTATCCACTGCTTGGAACACCGGTGTGATGACTGGACCTCTAGCCTCCATTTGGACCATATGGATGCAGGGCCACATCCTTGCAGTGAGATGGAAGAACCCTAGACGCCATGTATTAGCTTTGGATGGCTTACTTCTGGTGTACACGAGAGAGAGAGAGAGAGAGAGAGAAAAACCTGTTTTCTTTAAGCCACTATTATTTTGGGCTTTCTGTCACACATGGCCAAATCTAATCCTAACTTATACCATCTGGTGATGTTGGGTTCAGATTCTCACACTGCAAGAATTGGCTGGAGCTGAGAAGCTGCACCCTTGGTTTATCATAGTCCTTTCTCATTCATTCAACCCCCTTGATCCCTGTGGGTATTGAAATTCGAGGTCCCTGTCCAGGAAGCTATTTGTCAGAGAGAAACATTCTGGGGGCCAAGGAGCCCTCCAAGATGACAATCAGGACCACCCCCACCCTGCTCCCTCTTGTCCCATTAAGGCAGGCACTTGGGCAGGCCCTGGTCCTGAGTGCTGGCTCTCCTATTTCCTGTAGTCAGCTGGAGTCCAAGCACACAGCCCTCTGCCTGTCCAGCCACACATACCTCTCTGCTCCTGCCCTTCCCCTCCTTATTGGGATCCATTTACTGATAGGTCAGAATTCTCTCTTTCAGAGCCCTTGGCTCTGGAAGCTTCTCTTCTTCCAGAGCCTCAAGCCAAAAATTATGCCCATCATCTCTCACAGCCATCTGGAAACTGCTTTTCTGAAGTCCAGGGAATGTGTGGGAGCAGGTGTGGCTTAGGTTCAGGATCTCCCCATAGCCTCTGTCCACCAGCCAGGTCCTGCCTGTGGGTTGGAGCCAGGCCAACAGCACCTTCCCCAGTCAATAGGAGGCTGAGTCTATATATAGCTTGATGCTGCCAACGGTAGTTTGTCCTTCCTTCTATCCAGCTAGGGACCTGGGGTGGCCCTCGATAAGGTTCTGTCTCTTCCTCCTTGCTCTTAGCCTCACCCCAACCTTTCTGGGCTGCACCCTCACTGGGGTGTGTGGTGACTCTCCCCCACCCCAGTGGAGTAAGACTTGAGTGGGGCCGTTGTGCTGGGCACACAGATGTCAAGGCCACTTGGGTGTTGTCTGCTCTGCCCACATGATTTCTCCAGTTCATGAGAAGTGTCCACATATAATCTCATGTGAAGAGAGTCTGCAGTCCCCACCCATCCCCTCCCTCCCACTTCTTGCAAATCCCTCTCACAGCGAGTCTTCCACTCTGGGAAGGAGGTTGACAGGCAAGCCAGCCCATCCTTGGGTCATCTGCTCCCCACTGCCTATCTAGATGAGGGCTTGGAGAGCACTGCACTTTCAGCACCGCTCTTGATCCCAATGGTGCCAGGATGACTCATTATCTTCCACATGGCCTCCTGGGATTTCCTGGAATCTGATCAACTTCAAGGCTTTAGGCCATGTCCTGAGGATCTAAAGATTTACCAGCTGAAGCCTTCGGGAATTGCCCTTCCCTCTACTCCTCAGTGTGGTGCTGTCACTGGGTTACCCTCTTCAACCTGAAATGACTTCTATTGCCCACAAAGTTGAATCTAAGTATAGCCCTTTGGGCCCAATGGCTCATCATGTTGCCCTTCTGGGGATCACTTCCCCTGAATCCCTGCATGGACCTCATACCTCCTGCTACTCCCTAGACACCTGGGCTCATTCATCTCTACATCATAGGATGTATGGGGGCTCCTCTCCTACTCCGCCTATCAGAGCTCCACTCATAAACACCTCCCAAGCTCCCCGATCCTCTAACAGGGCTGGTACTGTGCCTGGCATGGGGGGTGTGGCCCAGACAGAGTTCCTGCACTCCAGAACTCCTCATACCCAGAGCATGCTAGCTCAGCTGCTTGCTTGGGGCATACAAGGAACCTCTGCTCTGTCCACCAGGCTGACCTCATATGGTGCCTGGGTTCAAGGCTGGACTGGTCCCCTCTATACCTGTTGTCTCCTATTGCACTGTGCATGACCCTACAGCAAAAGGCCCTGCTGCTGACCTCAGACCTCCCTATACTTTAAGCAGTCACTGCCAGTCCAGCTCCAGAAACCCTGATCTAGTCCACTCTCCCATGTCTGTGAGCTTGTAGAGGGTGAGGCCTGGGTCCCTAGTCCAGGTGGGCACAGGAAAATGTCCATGGCTGACAGTGGACTTGAGAGTGTATATAGACAGGTGAGGCTGAGATCTGTGTACACAGTGCAGAGTGGGAGCCTGGAGGAGTCCATCTGGCTAACAGGAAAGGTCAATGGCCTCTTGAGGGTGAGAAAACCACTACCCTCAGGGCATAGAGCCTCGTGGGATGGGAGAATGGTGAGAGATTGGGAGGGGATGGAGATTTGGAAGGGATTCCTCACCCTTTGCAAGGTTCCCAGGCCTGCCCTTCTCTGCTCCAATTGGAGTCCCTGCCAATGACCCTGGTGCCCGGCCCTGCCCTGTGTGCTATTCTGGGGGTTCCTTTTGGCTCCCAGGCTGGCTGGTGACTTCAGAGAATGGAGAAGCCTTGGCCAGGCTGGGATCAGATTTAAACAGGCAGAGAGGAAGGGAAAAACATGTCAGGAGGGAGATAACAGTGCTGGAAAAGGTTCTAAGGGCTGGGGTATAGACACCCAGGCTTATGGGTGGAACTTTTGAGTGAGCAGACCACCCCAGGCTGCAGTTCATCCCCAGATTATAGGTAAAGGCATGCAAGATTTAGGTGAGGCTGAAAAAATGCAGTGAAGTGATGCTATTAGCTAACCTTTGTTGAGCACCTACTATGTGCCAGGCATCTATTGAAGCCCTCATATTGACGAACATGAGATAGGCATTTTTATCATCCCCATTCACAGAGAAGCTAAATGTCTTGTCTAAGGTCACCCAGTAAATGGAGGGAAATAGACCTGATCTCAGGCGTGCAACCACAACGCCCAGGCTGGGAACAGATCATCAAGGGCTGTGAATGGCAGGATCTGGAATGTGGGTTTCATCTAGCAACAACAAGGAACCACCAAAGGATCTTGGGCTGGGGTTGATATGGTCAGAGCAGAGTCTAGGGGATGCCCAGCAGCTTGGGAAGGATGTGGGTCTGGAGGTCAGTTAAAGGGCCATGGGAATCCCCAGTGCTGCATACCTTGGCCCTGTTGGTCATGTCTCAGTGAGCTCTGAGACCCCAGGCTGGGTATCTGCCTACACTAAAATTTCCTTGGAAATACCCCAAAGCCAAATTCCTTAGAATAGCCTTGAAGCTATTTCCTTAGAATAGCTCCCAAAGTGGAGCGGGCAGGCTATAGCTCCCCCAGGAAACTCAAGGCAGGCCTGTCCATCCAGGATGCTGGGGAGTAAGCCTAACACATCTTCGCAGGAGAGTGGAGGCTTTGCACACTCCTTCCCAGATGGACAACTTGAAGCAACAGACAAGGACATCTCCCCAGGCATCAGTGCTGTAGCTGCCTCCAGGCAGGAGAGATGGGACCCTGAGGAGGGGCTGAGCATGCGGGTTGTGCAGGTCCCCAGAGCTCAGCGCCAACCAACAGTAACCAGGTCCTGGCTCATTAGACAGGGTGAAATGGGAGCAGGACAGCAGAGCTGGGATGCCAGGTGGCCTTGCAAATGAACTCCTGCATACAAGTAGCTGATCGGTCAAAGGCTGACAAGTTTATCGTGTAAGGCAGAAAATGAACTACACCCAAACTCATCCACCATGAATCTGGCCCAAATGTAATGGAAACGGGGGGCTGTGGGCTGGAGGCATGCGGCAGGAGCCGTTTGTCTTGTGACATTCTCATCGAGCACATGGAGGCTCGTTTAATGTGGTAAATCAATCTTCCTCAAGGAGCCCCTGCTTAATAGTGAGAAGTCGGAGT